GTTGCGCGCTCGCCGCTCGCTTTTTGCCCGCCTGTGATAATGATGATGTGATGGTGGGCGTTGAAACGAGTGCGTTTGCAGAGGTGTGCGCGCGTGTGTGTGCGTGCGAACCTTCACACACACACACACACACACACACACACTTGTGTGCGAGCGCGGCGAGTGAAAGCAATGTGTTGTGCTGCCGCGGCGTTGGTCTGACGCTCTGCTGAGGGGGAAAAAATAAATGACCACATAATCGCGGGGCGTTTGGCCACCGCGCCGATCCCCTGACTTGGCAAAAGGGACCGCGAAAGGGAAAAAAAAGCCCCGGCACGGCCTCGCCGGCCTCGCCTGTCATCGGAAGGGTATTGGCTGCTAGGCCCGACTCGGCCAGTCCCGCCATAACCTGGCTAAATTTATCCGCTTGGACCCACTCCGTCTCTCTCGCACTCACGGGGAGTCCCACTGGGGTGCGAGAGAGACGGAGAGCAATTGGCCGATTTCAAGTCCCGCGCGTTCCGCTGTCCCCCTGCGTCATAACCCGGCCACATTCTCCACAGACACGCAACAGCTCACACACACACACACACACACACACACACACACAGCGACGACTGCGAACATGCCAACGTGACCTCAGACGCCACCAACATTTTCCAGGAACTCCGGCCCCCTCGGCTACCCCCTATCCCCCGGAGCACGCCCCCCCCCCCCTACCCCTTTGGAGATGCTCGGGGGGCTTTAAGCGTGGGAAAGCGGGCTGGAGGTGTCCCGGTCCGCCCCGGTCCGCCCCGGTCCGCCCCGGTCCTGCCGTGCGTGTTCGTCTGCACACACGCTAAGCCCCTCTTTCCTCTTTCGCTTGTTTCATCCTGCCCGGCTATGCGTCCGTCCGGCTGTCTGCCTGTCCGTCTGTCTGCCGCGAGTCCAGCCTGCCGGGGGCGAGAACGACCCACTGGAAAGTTTTATCCCCCCCCCCTCCCTTCGATTTGCGTAAGAATCGCACATGCAGCCTCTTCGCGGCGGCGAGCAAGACCGGCCGGGCAAAGTAAAAAAAAATTAAAAAAAACGAAAAAAAAGAGAGAAAAGGAAAGAGTGAGAGAAGAATGCGGTGGGAGGGAGAAACTGCAGTGAGAGAAACTTTTTCAATGAGCCGCGTTTTCCATCGCGGCGGGGGAAATTTCGTTACTTTCATCACTTGAGTGCTATACATTAATTACGGGGGTGCCGACCGCGGGCGATGGGGGCGGGAGAGAGAGAGAGGGGGGGGGGGGAAGGGCGCGTTGCCCGCGGTTAAAACGTCGCTAATGTAATGTATGGAAAGCTGTGACGCCGTGCCAAGGCCCGTCCCGTCCGACCACACCGCGGCTTTTAGGATATGGCTCTCCGGACGGCTGGGCTGGGCTCGGCCAGACGAACGCGGCTTGACGGCTGGACGGCGGGCCGTTTAACTACTCTGCGACAAAAATATCGTTTAAATTGATATTTATTTTTAAGTCAAGGATAGGTTTTTTTAAGTGTTCTACACCGGAGTGTTCCACTTTGAAAACGTCCCAAAAATTCAACATGGAAAAAAAAATACTTTGCCATTTTTTGCCGTCTAGGCGAGCATAAATTTTGGTGACCAAAGAGAGACACTTTTTTTTCTGAGACGCCTCAAGACACGGTCTACCTGACGCGCCGGATGCCCCCCACCCCCCACTTGCTGAGCCAGGGGGAAGAGGGGGGGGGGGTAGTTTAGCGCTGATGCGGCAAGTGGGACCAAAACTTGGCCGCCTCCGTGGAGGGACTCGGGCACGTCTCTATTGACTGAGTAGTCTGCGCAAGAAAAATAATCTCCCGTGTAGGTGTGTGTGTGTGTGTGGGAGAGGGAGGGTGGGGCGCGAGGTGTTGTAAGCGTGTGTCTGTGGGGGCGGCGACGTGGAACCTGTGGAGCACGTCGAGAACTTGTCAAAGCCAGTCAGCAGACTATGGCGGACTGAGCCTCGGCTTCCTCGACTGCCGCAATCACCATTACCTGCCTCCGGTGTGGCGCACTGGTTGTCGTCCGCCGACATTGGCACTGTAAGTGGAGCGCCAGGAACACCAAAAGTCCAGTGAGGAAGCATCAGTCGAATCAGTTTTAAAATTTGGTTTTCTGTTTTTGTTGTACAGTGTGCATAAACACCTAGAAAAGACCGCTTAGGAAGGGGCAGAAACTAAACCGGAATATTTTTGCAATTGTTACGTCGGCACTTTTCGCAGAGTGCACCCTTCGGAGAACAGCTGCTGCAGCTGCGAAGAATTCCTCCCGATATGAGTTCCCCCCGGTATTAGTTGAGGCCCGAGCGCGTTCCGAAGGCGTACCGAAGGCGTACCGAAGGCGTACCGTAGGTGTTCTGAAGCGTTCCCAAGGGGTTCCAAACTCCAAAGTCGTTCTAACGGCGTTCCAAAGGCTTTCCGAAGGCATTCTGAAGGCGTACCGAAGGCGTTCCGAAGTTATTCCGAAGGCGTACCGAACGCGGTCCGAAGGCGTTCCGAAGGCAGCGGGCGAATATATCCTCGGAAAGTGCGGGCGAGACGCGGTGCGGCGTTCGAAACGCAGACGGGAAAAAAGAACGCGGTGCTAACTCGGGTAGGGTTCCCTGAGGAGGCGGCGAAAGTCAGCAGGCAGGAGGCGGGACAGGGATCGATGCGACAGACGGACAGACAGAAAGACAGACAGACGGACAGCGGAAAGGCTGATGGAGCGAAGGGAGGCGGCCAGAGCGCATGACGTATGGGATGGTCCGGTTAATGGAAAAATTATTAAAAGAGATTGAAAGAGAGCGGTGGGAAAAGTTGGTAGACTCATGTCGGCACCGCGCGGGGCGGAAAGGGCGAGAAAGAGGCGTCGGGAACGGCCGGCCGGGCAATCTAGAGGTGCTGCGAGCGGCTGGCTTCGAGGTGCAGCCCTCGCATCAGCATCGACTACTCGACCCGATAATGTATTCTTACCGAGAAACTGCCTTCGACTTTACTTATTACTTACCCTGACTAGCCCCCCCCCCCCCACACACACACACACGCATACGCCCCACCGATCGCCTGCAAACTTGTACCGCATAGAGTTGGAGCTTAATATGTGGAACCGGCGGCAACTTCCGAGCACCATAATCCTGTTACGTATTGCAGCTCCAGCGCGGGGCGCCACTCCGACCCACCCCGCCCACTTGGAGCGCCACGCCACGCCACGCCACGCCGTGCACGGTGGCGTGTTTAGAAGGCTGATTAGCGAGGTGCTAGATGGGCCACCCTCTCCATCAACCCGTCATGCCGTCACCGTGTCGATAGCCATCTCGCCTCTTTTTTTTTTCAGATTCGTCATCGCGTTGGCTCGGCGTCCATTGACAGCCAGTGCACCAGAAATACCCGAATACCCGTCCGCGCCACTCTTTTTTGCGTCCTTATTTCGCGTTTTTTAAAAATCTGTCAACGATGTGTCCGGATCGCCTGGAAATCGGACAGTGTCAACATCAAGCTCAATTTTGTTTCGGTTTAAAGTCTGTGGACTTCAAAAGAGAAATTTCGCGAAGTGGCTTCCCGTCGTAGCGCCTGCGACGGGCGGGTAGGCCGACCGCAGGCAGGCCTGCGTGGCGGGCTTGCCTACCCACGGCATCGCAGGCGCTCTCTCTCCCTTTCTCTCTCTACTTCTCTCTCTTCCGTCTCCTCCTTCCGGTCCAACTTTCGGCGCCGCAGAGAAGAGAATTTTAATGGCCTCCTTACCTTTGCGACTAACATCACAGTCGTCACCAGCTTCCTTAATCAGCCGGCTGGCGCGGGGCCGTCTCAGCGTAACTGCCGCGGCTCGTTTCATGTTTTTTTCTTCTCTCTCTCTCTCTCTCTCTCTCTCTCTCTCTCTCTCTCCTCTCTCTCTCTCTCTCTCTCCGCGGCAGGGACGAGCATGGAAAGGCATAAAGAGGAGAGAGAGATAGAAGGTTGGGGATCCTCTCCGGCGGCGGGAACTGTAACTGCAGCCAGTAAAACCTGACAAAGATTCGGGCGGGAAACATTTCCACGCATCTCGCTCCGCGCTAGCAGTGCTAGCAGTGCTAGGCGCCCGGGGGCATGGCCGGGCAGGGCGGGGCCGGGGCAGCCATCCGAGCCGACATCCGAAATCCGGGCCGTGCCTAGGCGGGCCAAACTCGCGCAGCAGCAGTCGTGTATCTGTCACATCGGCATGTACATTCAGATTTATGGAGCGAGTTCACTTTCGCTCTCGTTTGTAATCTCGCAAAAGGCGAAAGGCTGCCGGCATAATATCGAGCCAGGCCAGCCAGGCCAGCCAACCGACCGTGTAATCGAGGTAGTTACCCCCACTCTCATATCGCCGGCCCCTGCTCCTCCTCCTTCTCCTTCATTTTATGTGTCATTTTCATTTACAATTCCATTTTCAGTTTCAGCTTCATTTTCAGTTTCCTCTTTCGTGTTCAGTTTCCTATTTCATGTTCAGTTTCATTTTCATTTTCAGTTTCATTTTTACTTCAGTTTTTATGTTCTCCCCTCTCCCCCCCCCTCTCTCTCTCTCTCTCTCTCTCTCTCTCTCTCTCTCTCTCTCCCTCTCTCTCTCTCTCTCTCTCTTCCCCTGGCTTGCCCCGCCGATCGCCCGGCCGGTCCCCCGATGATTAGGACTCATTGCAGGCCACTGAGCCTCTGCCGGCGGCGCTGCCGGTGTCCTCCAAGGAGAGGCCAGGCCGGCCCGCGCGGCCCGCGGCGGTGTGGACCCAGCCAGCCTTAATCCCGGCCAACTGGAACTCCGAAGCCGGGCGGAGCGGGCGGAGCCGGCGAAGCTAATAGGACTGAAATTACCAACAGACCTCCCCTTATAAACTTGACGGTGGCAAATCTATGGCGCCTCCTTTAGCAAACAAAGGTTAGCGAAAGTTGGCGGCAGTGGCGTCGGGGGCGGGAAGGATTAAGGGCTGCCGGCGCGGCCTGGTCGGCCTCGGCGAGGACGAGGACCGAGGACCTCACCTGACGCGTCATTCTCTCTCTTGTTGCAGCCGCGCCGTGCTGCGCAACCCCGACGTGCGCGGCGGCCAGTCGGCCTGGCTGGCGTTCGGACACGACTTCTGGGGCACGCCGCTGCGCTCCGCCGGGTCCCACGGGTCGTACCGGCCGCTGTCCGTGCTGTCGCTGCGCGCCAACGCCTACCTGGCCGGCGGCATGCGGCCCTACGGCTTCCACTTGGTGAGCACCGCTATAGCCGGCAGGCCGGCGGAGGCGGTCCAAATCCCGGACGCTACAAATTTAACTTGTAAAATTTAAAAGTCATTTTTCAACATTTGGTTAATTTTCGGGCGACCCTTCCAGGTGAACGCGCAGCTGCACGCGCTGTGCTCGTACCTGGTGACGCGCCTGTCGCGGCGGCTGCTGGGCGGCCTGGGCGGCCGCGGCCCCGGCGTGTGGCTGACGGCGGGGCTGCTGTTCGCCGCGCACCCCGTGCACTGCGAGGCGGTGGCCGGCATCGTGGGCCGCGCCGACCTGCTGGCCTCGGCGCTGGCGCTGCTGGCCCTGCTCAGCTTCCTGCAGCACCTGGACTGGCGGGAGCGGGGCTGCCGGTGCGAGGCGCTGCGCAGCCTGCGCCCTGGTGGCCGCGCCGCCTGGTGCCGCTGCCGCGCCTGGTCCGCGCTCCTGCTCGCCGCCACCATGGCCCTGGCCGCGGCCGCCATGCTGTGCAAGGAGCCCGGCGCCACCGTCGTGGCCGTCTGCATGGTGTACGACGTGGTGGTGCAGCTGGGGCGCCGCGGCCGCAACCGCAAGGTGGGCGTCGTTGAACTTCGTCCCGCGTTTTGGGCTCCAGAGTCGCTAAGTGGGACTCGAACCGCACGTGTGACCCCACCAATGGATTGCTCTCCGGACGAGGAATCCATCCGTGGGGTCACACGCTCGGTTCGAGTCCTGCTTAGCGACTCCGGAGCTCAAAACGCGTCTTTGGCCGCCGTCTTGTAGCCCACTGCTCTAAGGCAGCCTCCTTGTCGCAGACGCCCTTCTGCGCCTCCTCGCTGGTCGCGCTGGCGGCCTGGGGCGGCGCGCTGCTGGCGGCGCGGCTCTGGCTCGTCGGCATGAGCACGCCCGTCTTCGCGCGCGCCGACAACCCCGCGGCGCACGAGGCGGCCTGGGCCACGCGCACGCTCACCTTCCTGCACCTGCCCGTCGTCAACCTGCGCCTGCTGCTGTGGCCCGGCACGCTCTCCTTCGACTGGTCCATGGACGCCGTGGAGCGCGTCGAGGCCCTCGCCGACCCCCGGAACCTGCAGAGCGCCGCGCTGTACGCGTCGCTCGCCGTGCTCGTCCGGAAGGCCGTCGCCGCGCTCACCGCCGAGCCCCAGGTACTTTTCCTCTTCACACAGTGGGCCAGAAGACCGGTGGAGGCGGACAAAATTCCACACGCGTTTTGAGCTCCAGAGTCGCTTGATGAGTCTCGAACTGAACGTGTGATCCCACCAATGGATTGCTCTCTTAACGAGGGATCCATTGGTGGGGTCACACGTTCGGTTCGAGTCCTGCTTAGCGACTCTGGAGCTCGAAACGCGTCGTGAGTTTTAACCGAACCCGCCGGTCTTCTGGCTCACTGTGCGACACCGGTTCGTTAGTCGTCTCGCCGGCAGCTGGCAGCCGCAGTCACACACCGCGATCATGTTCCCGGCCATGGAAAGTGGGCGCCGGGCGGCCAGGCAGCCAGCGGGGTGCCCGTTTTAGAATGCATTGCGTGTGTGTACGGTGTAGGGGTATAAGAGGGATTTGGGAGCTTTGTCGGTGTCTCGCCGTGCCAGCCGCCACCGCCACAGCTCGGTGCTCGGTCGCAAAAGGGGGAGGGGGAGGGTGCATTGTACGTGCCTGATCCTCTGTCTTCTCACTGGCTGGAGCCACGAGGGATGAGTCCACTGCAGCTGGACAGCGCGCCGGCCAGAAAAAATATGGAGGGAGCACCGGCATGAGAGAGCAACGCCCCCTCCCCCTCCCCCTCAGACCGGGGTTATGCGGGCGGAGGCCGACGGAAAGGCAGATGTGATATTAGTTCAGCGAAGTCCGGTCTCCGGCGGTCCCCACCGGACCGTGGACAGTGGGCCAGAAGACCGGTGGAGGCGGACAAAATGCTAGACGCGTTCCGAGCTCGACAGTCGCTAAATGGGACTGGAAACGAACGTGTGACCTCACCAATAGGTTCCTCGTTTGGAGAGGAATCCACTGGTGGGGTCACACGCTCGGTTCGAGTCCCATTTAGCGACACGAGCCCCAAACGCGTCCGGGGATTTCGGCCGCCTCCGCCGGTCTTCTGGCCCACTGTGCGGTGTCCGGCTTCAGGCTGCGCGGAAAGCCCCTCCGGACACACGGAGATTCCCCTGGAAAACTAAAAAGGACGGAGAAATCCGAGGCGCTGCGGGCAGAAAACCTCACTCGTGTCACTAGAAAGAGCAAGTCGTAAACAAAGTTTCGCAGTCATTATTATTGGAAGCCGTAGAAACGTGACGGCGGGCGACGGGGTCCTCTGGACTGATTCCGAGAGTCGTGTCTCTCTCGCACCTGTACTGCGGAAAGCCCCGTGAGTGGGAGAGAGACAGAGCGACGAATCAGTCTCCAGGCGTTGTTCCCCGGGGAGCGTCCATCCGCCTCCGAGTGTCCTCCAGGCTGCTCCTGGAGTATTCATCCCGGACGTGTTTCATTCGCAGGGCCTGGAGCTGTTCCAGAGCAGGGCGCGGCGCGGCAGGGCGGCCTCCAGGCGGCGCCACGCCAAGCCGGACCGGGTGAGTCACCAGGACAAAAGTCAACCTACGAAAAAAAGTTAAGAGACCTTGTTTTGTGACTTGACTGTGTGCGCCCGACAGAAAATGAAGATCTGCGGCGTCTGCTCGAAGCTGATCGAGTCGCGCGGCGCCTTCGTGTACGGCTACAACAACAACAACGTGGTGCTGGCCAACAACAACAACTACCCCGTCAGCTCGAGCAGCAGTAGCAGTAGCGTGTCGCAGGACAGCGACGCGGGCGCGGCGGTGGCCTCGGCGTCGTGGGTGGGCTGGCCGCCGGCGGCGCGGCCCCCTCGCGGTGGCGGCGCGCTGCTGGCGGTCGCGCTGGCCGTGGTGCCGCTGCTGCCCGCCACCAACCTCTTCTTCTACGTGGGCTTCGTGGTGGCGGAGCGCGTGCTTTACCTGCCCAGCGTGGGCTACTGCCTGCTCGTGGCGCAGGGCCTGGGCTGGCTGGCCGACGCGAAGCCCCCCGTGGCCGCCGCCGCCGGCCGCGCCGCCCGGTCGACGCGGACGTGGCGCGGCCGCGGCACCGCCGTCATGCTCGCCGGCGTGGTCCTGGTGGCCGTGCTGGCCGCCAGGACGCTGCAGAGGAACGGCGACTGGGCCGACGAGGAGGACCTGTACCGCGCCGGCATCGCAGTCAACCCCCCGAAAGGTGCGGCCTTCGAGATCTCGTTCAAGATTTAGTTCAAGATCACGTTCTAGTTTTGTTTTCGAGATATGGTTCGATATCTCGCTCTTGACTGTTTTGCCTGTTGTTCCGCCGCAGCGTACGGCAACCTGGGCTCGGTGCTGAGTTCGCGGGGCCGGCTGGCCGAGGCGGAGCACGCCTTCAGGATGGCGCTGCGCTACCGGCCCAACATGGCGGAGGTCCACTACAACCTGTGAGTAGCGTCCCGTCAGCCCGGCGCGAGGCTAAGCGTGGCAGAGCCGCACGGTGCGCCAGAAGACCGGTGGAGGCGGCCAAGATTAAAGACGCGTATTGAGCTCCAGACTCCAGAGTCGCTGATTGGGGCTCGAACCGAACGTGTGACCCCACCAATTCATTGCTCTTCGAACGAGGAATCCATTGTTGGGGTCACACGTTCGGTTCGAGTCCCATTTAGCGACTCTGGAGCTCAAAACGCGTCTAGCGTTTAGGCCGCCTCCACCGGTCTTCTGGCCCACTGTGGGCCGCCCTTCCGGGTAAAAAGTAAACACCCTGGGAACACACCCCGGCGGCCCGGGCCGCGCCAACGTGTTAATCACTGCACGGCAAACAGCCGCGCTAATATCCGCCGCCGAGGCCGTGCGAGTGCGAGAGAGACGGCGCGAGACACGCCGCGGCGCTGCCTGCGAGAGCGAGAGAGACGGCGCTCGCGACAAAAAGCAAACACACCAATCAGCGGCCCGGCAAAAACAGGGCGAATAAGCAGCGGGCCGATCGCGTACCCTGGGGGTTCGGGTTCGGGTCGCTCCAACGAGCACCCGAGCCCGAGACCCGAACGCGACCGAACGCGACCCGAAGTTGGCCCAAGCCGCAAAGCGTTTGGCCACCACGGCGGAAATAGAGGGTTCCTGAGAGCGCTTCCTCAGGCTGTCTCTCTCGCACTCACGGCGAAGGCCATCAGGGTGCGAGAGAGGCGGCACGCTGCTCAGTCTACGCAAGCCGATTCCGAACAGTCACGCTGTCTGCCTCGCACCGCCGAGTGCGAGAGAGACAGAGCGACAGGCGTTGGCCAGGGGGCGCTGTGGGGCGTGCATAGCCTTATCTGTGGGTTGCCGATGTTTCAGGGGGAACCTGTTGCTCAAGAGAGACAAGCTGGAGGAAGCCATCCGGAGCTATCAGCAGGCCATCCATTACCGGCCGTCGCTCGCCCGTAAGTTGTCTTCGTCGCGCGTACACTGCCAAACGTTTGTTTTTAGTCAGCGTAAACAATTTTAAGAAGGTGATCAAAATGTTTTTTTTTAATAGTTTTATTTTTCTTGTGCTTTTTTTTAGGCAATCGCCTTTTTTCTCTTTCTGTTTTTTTACAAAGGCGCACCTGCACCTATTTCTAAATTTGACTTTGTTTTTCGCGCACTATAGCACCTTTTTGTAATTTTATTTTTTGCTACTTTTTTTGCAGTGGCGCACTTGCACCTGGGACACGCGTTGGCGGCGCGCGGCCAGGTGCGCGAGGCCGTGTCGGCGCTGGTGCGGTGCGCGTCGCTGCGCCTCGCGGCCCCCGCGGCCCCCGCGGCCTCGCCGCTCCTGCTGCACGCCCCCCAGGGCAGGCTGCACGCCGTGCGCGACGAGGCGACGCACGAGGCCGCCAGGGTGTCGGCGCTGCTGCTGCTCGGCCACCTGCACGCGTCGCAGGGCAGGCTGCGCGCCGCCGAGAAGGCCGTCAAGGAGGCCATCCAGGCCCGGCCCCAGGACTACCACCCCGCGGTCAGTGCCCTCAACCATTGAAAAATTGCCTTCCCATCTCCGAAAAAATATACTTTTTTGTACTATATCTACTTTAAACGTGTTCGAAATTAAAACTTTAAAGGTATAGGAGGTGTTTTTTTGCAAATCAGAGGCCTTTTTTGATTTTAAAGAAAAGAATTTTTACACTATACCTACTGGAAATTCATTCAAAATTTAAACTTTTTCAAAATTCGAAATTTTTTTCTCAAGTTGTCCGGGAGTGTTCAAGATTTTGGAACAGTGCCGCTGACCGTTGTGAACCGTTGCAGCCGCTGTACAAGCTGCTGGCCGAGGTGGAGGAGAGGATCAAGACCCAGGAGGAGCGGCACTCGGCCAGGGACACGCTGGACTACAGGGAAGCGCCTACAGGGAAGGCCGATGCGCAGCAGCAGCCCGACAAGGACCAGCCGCAGGAGCAGCAGCAGCGGAACGCGTGGTCCTGGAGGACGAGATCGTGCAACGACAGCGTCCTGCCCGGCACCGGCACGGTAAGTTGTCTCAGTGGCCGCGTGGTTAGCGAAACCGCTTTGCAAGTCAGTGGTCCGTGGTTCGAAACCCCGCGCCCTATAATATTTTTTCGTGTGTCTTATGTTGTTGGTTTACTGTGTCTCAGGCTGCCGGGGAGTGCGCCAGGGCGCCGTCGGCGGGAGTCGAACCAGGGCCCCCGATGCGCGGCGAGGGGGCCACGGCGTCCGGGCCGCAGCCCGAGGAGTGCCCCATGGCCGCCCTGTTCCCCGCCCCCGCGTCGCCCTGCGCCTAACCGAGCACGTCGTTGCCCACGGACTACGGTGGAACGACGTGGAACCGCGTGTCAGTGACGTCACAGTGACGTCATAGCCACAAGAAGCACGCACGATAAGACTTGTGATTCGAGACAATATTTTGTCCAACTGCTCCGCCGGGCACTAGTGCCCACAGCGAAGAGCCAGTTGGAAACTCTAAGTGATGTAAATACCGGAGAGGCTCTCTCCTCCCCTTCGTGATCATGATGAAAACGCTAAGAATCTTTATCAATTGTTCTCTTTTTCTTTTGTTCGCTGTGTACATAACACGCAGGACTAAGGTAGCGGCTAAGATACACTCGAGAGTGCCAACAAACCATTGCATTCCTCCCTTGCATGGGAGAAAAAACACATCTCCCTACTTTTAACGTGACAGTTTGTGACGGAATACCAACAGTTTTGTACTTAGGAAAAAAAAGATATTCCTGTCCCCTTCTCTTCTTTTTGTATATCGATTGAATAAATCTATTTATTTACTCGTTATCGTGCTGCCATTTCCCCAATCTGACTCTGAAATGAGAAAGATGAAACGCCTTTTCCCGGGGAACGAGAACAAGGTGGCGGTGCGACGGAGACAGACAGAGCCACGCCCCCGGACGGGCCCGGCCCACTCTAATACATACAGCCACTGGGGCGCAGCGGCACGGCACGGCACGGCACGGCAGGGCACGGCACGGCACGGCACGGCACGGCAGGGCACTGCACGGCACGCCACGCCACGCCACGACACGCCACGGCACGGCACGGCAGGGCACGGCAGGGCACTGCACGGCACGGCCTCGCTGGTTTTACATGATACTGCTGCTCTTTTTTGCCGCCTTGTCCCTCTTCTTCTTCTTCTTCTTCTCCTCCATCTCCCCCTCCCTCTTCCTCCGTGACCCTCGCCCGCCCGGCTACTCCCTATCTCCGTCTCTATCTGGGGTGCAAATCGCGACGGCGCCATTACACTGCAGTCTGTCTCTCTCGCACCAACGGGGCGCGCCCCCGGGGTGGCGACCGCCTGAGTAGGTAGGCACCCCGTCCGTCACGTCCGCGCGGCGGCACGGCCTACGCTCCGTCTCGCGGGCGCTCCACAGTGGGCCAGAAGACCGAGTCCTCCACCGGCCCACTGTGCACTCCCGGTCCGCAGACCGATTCCCAGAGTCGTCGCTCTGTCTCCTCGCACTCGTGGGGTGCCCCGAAAAGGAGCGAGAGAGACGACCCGGAACCGGTCTACTCGAGGGGGAAATCACTCTTAAAAACTGTGACCCGACTACTCCCTATTACGTTCTATTACACTATTACAGAAGGCTTATTACGCTCGAAAATACCCAGATTTAGGCTAAAATCGGACCGTAAATAGGGAAAACCTTAAAAAATTTGGCTATTACGCTATTACTATTACGCGTAATACAAGGAATCGGTGACCCGACTATTACGCGAGTGATTTCCCCCTCGGGTCTACTGGCCAACCTCGGCCGATCTTCCAGGCCCCGGGCGGGCGCGCCGCACGCATAGGTCCGTCGAGGCTTTGTTCGCGTTATGAAGAGCCGGCCCCAATTCACCCCCTTTGTACACCACTCTCTTTTGAACCCCCCACCCTCTTTCGAACGTCCTTCCTTTTTCTGAACTTCCACCCCCTTTTGAACCTCCCACCCAATTTTCCTGCCGGGACCTCCACCCCCCAGGCGTCTAGCCTGCATTCTGGCGGTCGCTCTGTAGTGAGTTTCCTGCCTCTCTCGCTCCCGCCTCTCCTTCACGCGAGGCTGTGCCTTGCCGTACCGGCCTGAAACACTCGGCCCCCCGGCTCCCCCCTCAAAAGAGCAAAATCCGAGCCGCGTTCGTCGCTCCGTCTCTCTCGCACTCGCGGGGCGCCGCGCATCGCTGCGCGTGGGTGCGAGGGAGACGGAGCGACGAGACGCTGTGCGGAATCAGTCGTCTGCTTCGACCCGCTTTTCTCCCGTTCACTGGCTTCTTCCACTTGGACGCACGGCCGGCCGGGGGGGAGGGGAGGGGGCGTCCGAAGTCGCTCCATTTGGCGCGGTCTGCAACGCGGCCAAGGCGTGGGCCAAAGGCGGCAAGCCCGGCAGCCAGCCAGCCAGCCACGCAACCAGCGCGCCCTGGCGGCCGCGTTGCTCATCAACAACATGGCAAGTGGCACTGGAATCAATATGGTCGTCGGCACGGCCTGCACGGCCTCCACGCCGACACCGACAGGGACGTGCTGCACGGCGGCACCGAGGCCACGACGGCGGTCGACGGGGAGGTGCTTCGGCGGCACCGAGGCCACGACGGCGGTCGACGGGGAGGTGCTTCGGCGGCACCGAGGCCACGACGGCGGTCGACGGGGAGGTGCTTCGGCGGCACCGAGGCCACGACGGCGGTCGACGGGGAGGTGCTTCGGCGGCACCGAGGCCACGACGGCGGTCGACGGGGAGGTGCTTCGGCGGCACCGAGGCCACGACGGCGGTCGACGGGGAGGTGCTTCGGCGGCACCGAGGCCACGACGGCGGTCGACGGGGAGGTGCTTCGGCGGCACCGAGGCCACGACGGCGGTCGACGGGGAGGTGCTTCGGCGGCACCGAGGCCACGACGGCGGTCGACGGGGAGGTGCTTCGGCGGCACCGAGGCCACGACGGCGGTCGACGGGGAGGTGCTTCGGCGGCACCGAGGCCACGACGGCGGTCGACGGGGAGGTGCTTCGGCGGCACCGAGGCCACGACGGCGGTCGACGGGGAGGTGCTTCGGCGGCACCGAGGCCACGACGGCGGTCGACGGGGAGGTGCTTCGGCGGCACCGAGGCCACGACGGCGGTCGACGGGGAGGTGCTTCGGCGGCACCGAGGCCACGACGGCGGTCGACGGGGAGGTGCTTCGGCGGCACCGAGGCCACGACGGCGGTCGACGGGGAGGTGCTTCGGCGGCACCGAGGCCACGCCGCCGCCAAGCCGCCAACGCGGGCGAGGCACGCGGAAAAGGCCGGAGTGTCAAGAGACGCTGAAACAACACGCTAAACGAGGCGGCCTGGCTACGCCTGGCTACGCCTGGCTCGCAGCAATGACGCCTTGCTAAAATATTCGCTCGGCGAGTGACCCCGCGAATTAGAAAGTTAAATGTGAGGGGGGGGAGGGGGACCGTGAGCCGCGGGCGGGGCGGGCCGGCTCCACCGACACGGCCTCCACGGCCTCGGCCGCGCCGCGTTCGGCTCTCGAACCGACTCAACACAAACACAAGGAGGCCTGCCGTTAACAATGGTTTGCGCCAAGAAATCGCTTTCAGGCTGCAGCCGGGAGTGCTGCGCCCAGGGGCACGGCCTGGCTGCCTGGCTGCCTGGCCCGAGCCAGCCGCGAAACTGCTACGCTTTGAGAATACAAAGGGAGGCGGTAGGGGGGGGGGGGGGGCTAGGCTGCCGAGTTGCCACGTGCAAGATGGATGCGGTCCTTGAGCCTAGAGAGAGAGAGAGGGGGGGAGGGGTAGGCCGCGATCGGACAGCCCGTGAGGACGTTTTAGAGATTAGTTAGAAATAAACAATCGGGACGAACTGGGTTGGTGAGGTGTGGACAAACTGGTGGGGGGTGGGCGGGTAATCTATTTCTCTCGCACCGACGGGAGGACCCATACTCATACCCATGAGTGTGTGTATGTGTGTGTGTGTGTGTGTGTGTGTGTGTGTAAGGGAGAGAGAGAGAGAGAGAGAGAGAGAGAGAGAGAGAGAGAGAGAGAGAAAGAGAGAGACAGACAGAGAGTCAGTCTGCAGCAGGCATGAGGAGAAGTTGCATTTTTCATCACTCTGCTGCTGCAGGTTCGAGGCGGTGCACTAGGGGAGAGGGTGCGGGCGGAGGGGCTGGGGGCGAAAAAGGAGACGGAGGGGTAAATTTCGCCGGGATATCCAAAGGCGTTTGTTTTCTTAGGGATTTCCCTGGGAAGATCGACTCACAATAGGGGCGCGTGGGTTGGGATCGGGCGCTCCCTCCGACTGCCTCCGGAACTCCCCCCACCCCCACCCCCTCGCCAGCCCCGCCCCTTCCAGCGCGCAGAGCTTTAAGAATGGAAATCTTTGTTGCGCTCTGGCCGCACCACCGGGCCACGGCCGGCCTGGCGAGCCTCATCAAAAGTGCACCGATATAACTGCTTCATTTTTAATTCGGACTTGGTGATTCCGTTCCGGGTGGACGGACGTGACGCACCGTGTGACGCTCGCTGACTCATTCATTAGACAGCAGACGACGGGGCTCGGATGGGGAATCTATACCGGGAACTGCGGGGCGGAGAGGCTTCCCACCTGCCGGCCCCAGCTAGCGCAGCTAGCGCAGCCAGCCCACGCCGTAAGACTCTGGCGGCGCAACTTGGAGCTAATGGCTGTTCGAAGGGCATTTGGGGAGCACGCCCCCTCCCCCCTCTCTCTCTCTCTCCCCCCTGCGGCAACGCTCTGCCCGCACGCCAAAGTCTTCCGAACCGGACTATGGCTGACACCAACAGAAGCGTAGCCGAAGGGATCGTGGCTGAGATCCCACCCCGAGCGCCGCCCACCATCAAAAATGCAAAATATACGTACAACAGAATGCTCGACCTAATATTTTACCCTTCACTTTCCCAAAATGAAATTAAATTGCAGCCTGTCGGGATTTTCCGCGGCGGCTAATTGTCTTGTATTTCGCGCGGCGGGGTCCCCACTGCCCTTTTGATTAACACATTTACTAACCCATTTGCTCGGCTGGGTCGCGCCGCGCCCGGCCGAGGACATCGCCGTCTCTCTCTCTCTCTCTCTCTCTCTCTCTCTCTCTCTCTCTCTCTCTCTCTCTCTCTCTCTCTCTTGCAAGCGGCCGGCCAGCCCTTGGAAAGTTCAGCCCGAGGTGTTGGGGGCAGAGAATGGCTTTTGGATGGGAGTTCACAGCCCTCGGACGGCCGCCATAGCGAACAGCCTCTCGCTGGAGTCTCGCTGGAGCCCCAACCTACACTCATTGTGGTCTCGAGTGCTCTAGAATCTCACTCAAGTCTCAGTACTCTCAAGAGTAACTACGGATGCCTTCATCCATCATATATGAAATTTCATCCGCACCCACAAAATTTTAGCGCAAGCATAATATGGATAACTATGTTTCTAGTACACGGATGGCCTTATCCGTAACAGGCACTTGTTTGTATTTACCATTATATGAGTAGTCCAACATCAACGGAAAGACTTATCACAACATTAGCTACCATTGTTCTGAAAATTCAACAGCGAACTTGGTGCGGAGCATGCTTGTATACCCATGGCTTTTCTTCATATTAAAAGACTGAGAAATTAGTTAAACTAACTACTTCTTACCTGTTGTGCATTGGTGTGCGCTCCTGAGTTGAGTCTCTCCGACCAAGAGCAGAAACGGTTGATCCCCACACCCAGACCCAAACGTCTTTAAAATCAGTAAATTATGGTCAACACCATAAGGTGTCCAGGAAAATTAGTCATGCCAATGTTCTTGAAATAAATAGACAATCACATGACACTATCACTTTGCTCTT